CAAAAAAAAAAACAAAAAAACGGAACCGTCCCCCCCCCCCCCAAAGCTGTAAACCTAGGGGAAACACTGAATTCATAACAAAAATAAACGTGTTTGCTATTCATTTTAGTCTCGACAGTTTTGTGTAAAGTTTTCCCAAATAATTAAGCCAGAATTATATTTTAAATGGACTCAGCAAAAAAAAGAACATGACAAAATATAATCTCTAAAATTTCTGTAAGTAATTTTAGAACCAATGGGATTGATATCTATATTCCAGTAGATGACACTTGATACGAACTTCAATTTCACAGCAATATTCAACAAAGTAATATGCTACTACACACAATAAATAAATAATTAGCAATATATATAAATCAACAACACGCAGCCATACCATTTTACAGTATTAAGTAAATAATGCTTCAAGTTTTCTCATGTAGTTATTTAACTAAACGGTCATTATTAAAATAATGAAACAAAATGTAGACAATATTCTCTTTTTTCCTGCCATTTAATAATTGACATAGTAGACGTTAATGTTGCCATAATACTGGAATCTTTGCTACAATACCTTGAAAAATAGCCACATTTGATACCATGGGGAAACATTGTCACAAAGTAAATGGCATTAAAATGTAACAAATTTTTAATATTGAATTTACTTTTGATCGGTCAAAATATTTTCTTAGCAAGCGAGACTCTTATTATTAGTATTATACTAATTATTAAATAAATATTACTATTGTTATAAAAATTCCAGTAAAAAAAAAAAAGAAAAAAGTGGGCTTAACTGTGAACAGAGCCACTCTGAGATGCTGAAAACACTGGATCATGAGCTGCAAGCGTGTAAATGAACAGAGTGCTGCGTTTCACTATGAAATATGCAACGCAATGGACAGTATACTACTTTAATTACACACACTGCATGTGGTGTCAACTCACTGTCAGAGAGAAGATAGCGAAAGTGTGCAGCTTGTATCGATACTGGGAGAAATGAGTAATGAAAGTTTGAAATATTCATATGAATTGATATATACACCATTGTTGTGGTTTTTGGACAACACTAGTAGACAGATTAAAAATAGACGGGGATTATATAACGCAAAAACATCCAAGTACACATCCACTTCTCATATAATGTACTCAATTAAAATACTCCACTGTGAAAACTCACCAGGTGTTAAGTTCAGGCAAGTGAGACACCTCTGTGGACAGCATGTTGGTGGTTCCCTGAAAGAGTCTCTTGGGCTGGCTTTCTGTCTCCATTTCACCTGAGGATCCACCAAAATATTTTATTTTTATTTTATTTAGGCATCCCAGCTGTAACAACATTGCAAAAGATAGTGTCTTGACTGCTTCCTTACTTTTGCGTTTGAGAGGACCCAGAATACCAGGCCTGATGCAGTTGATCGGGCTCTGACTCCTCCTGCTGGGCAAACTTTTGATGAGAGTGACATCAGCTACTCAGCTTAATATCCTACACTATTATGCCTGATGTCGGCAGAAAACATTCCTACTGTGGCGGGATGCCTGAACAGAACTTACCTGAAGCGGCGTGTTGGGCTGGGAACAGGGCTGGGCGTCAGACCGTTACTGGTCACCAGGATTTGAAGAGACGGAGAGAAACACTGCTGCTCATTGAAGAGAGAAGTCAGTCAAAGCATTAAGCCTTAAACAACAACAACAGTACAGCAAGTTATTTATTTTTCTGCTCATTGAAGAGAGAAGTCAGTCAAAGCATTAAGCCTTAAACAACAACAACAACAGTACAGCAAGTTATTTATTTTAAAAAAAAGGAAGAGATACCTTCTTTCCGATCCCTCTGGTGGGCGAAGGAGCAGGAGACACAGGCACAAAATCAATCCGCTTTGGAGACGACGATGAAGATTTCTCAAGATCATTATCACTCTAGAATCAAGCACAACCATATAAATCACTTACACAATATGACAGAATTATTATTACCACTAATTAACCACTTGATTACTAATGTAGTGTCGGAGTGTTCTACTACCAATCCAGTCTGTTCTTGAAAGACTGGTGGCCCTGTTGACTCCAGGAGCTTTTTTCTAGCATGCTTCCATTTTCTCTTCCACAATCCCATCAATAAGGGAAGAGGAAGTGTAGCAACAGAGCTACTGCATGCATCATATTATCTGAGTGAGAACATTGCCTCAACTTTTACACACAATAATAATTGTGAAGATTCCGTTTAAAGGAACACTCCACTATTTTTGAAAATAGGCTCATTTTCCAACTCCCCTAGAGTTAAACAGTTGAGTTTTACCGTTTTCGAATCCATTCAGCCGATCTCCGGGTCTGGCGGTAGCACTTTCGGCTGTAGCTTAGCATAGATAATTGAATCTGATTAGACCGTTAGCATCTCGCTCAAAAATGACCAAAGAGTTATTTTTCCTATTCAAAACTTGACTCTTCTGTATTTACAACGTGTACTAAGACCGACGGAAAATGAAAAGCTGCGATTTTCTAGGCCGATATGGCTAGAAACTATACTCTCATTCCGGCGTAATAATCAAGGAACTTTGCTGCCGTACCATGGGTATATACGATATTACGCAGCTTTCGATATTTTTCCTATTTAAAACTTGACTCTTCTGTAGTTACATTGTGTACTAAGACCGACGGACTGATTACATTACACCGGAATGAGAGTATAGTTCCTAGCCATATCGGCCTAGAAAATCGCAACTTTTCATTTTCCGTCAGTCTTAGTACACTTGTAACTACAGAAGAGTCAAGTTTTAAATAGGAAAACTATAGAAACTCTTTGGTCATTTTTGAGCGAGATGCTAACGGTCTAATCAGATTCAATCATCTATGCTAAGCTAAGCTAAAAGTGTTACCGCCAGACCCGGAGATCGGCTGAATGGATTCGAAAACGGTAAAACTCAACTGTTTAACTTCAAAAATAGTGGAGTGTTCCTTTAAAAACCTAAATTATACATTTTGCAATAATAATAATATTATACACAGTTTAAAAGTTTTGGTCATTAAGTTAAATACTTTTATTCAGCAAGGACACATGCATTTGATCAAAAGTGATAGTAAAGACATTGATAATATTACAAAAGATTCTTGAAAAGAATGCAAAAGTATTCTGGAAAAAAACATTTAACATTGATAAATGTTTCTAGAGCAACATATCAGCATATTAGAATGATTTCTGAAGGATCATGTGACACTGAAGACTGGAGTAATGATGCTGACAATTCAGCTTTGATCACAGGAATAAATTACATTTTAAAATGCATTCAAATAGAAAAGGTTATTTTAAACTAATAAATCAATTTCAGTTTTTACTTCATTTTTGATCAAATAAATACAGCCTTGGGCTTGCAGACTTCTTTTAAAAACAAAAATCTTACTGACCTTAAACTTTTGAACGGTAACATAAACCAGGCTCTTACCAGACTAAGACTCTCCTCCCAAGACTGGCTCATCTGCATGGCTGCCTGCACCTCTCTAGATCAATTGACATTATGGGGGAAAAATAAATACAGACGGGAAAAAATTAATATATGTGTCACTAAACACTGACATTATTCCCTTCAACCAATGACTAGAATCAAGCAGTCTAATAGAAGACCTCATTTCAGTGTGCACAGTACATGTCAAATATTGTTATGAACACTGGAAACAGACAAAACCTGCTTTCAGCAACTGATAAATGAGAAACCAATACCCTGGGGGTTCAACAGATGTGAGCTCTTACCGTTCATGAGCAGTTTCACGGTTCATCACATCAACACCCTCTTCCTACAGATAAACAAACACAAAGAATGCCCATATGAGCGAATATATCACCAACACCAAGTGACTTTTTGTACATATGCCATGTTGGAGTGCAGTACTACCAACCAGTCTGAATCTGAAAGACAGGTGGTTTGCGAGAACTCCAAAATGTAATTTTAGCATGTACTTTTAAACACGCACTCCCATAAGCACGTTTATAGGAGTAGTGAGTCTGACATGCTATGAAGAACACAGACTAAGAAATAAGTCATATTTCAAGGTAAACTGAAGCAAACTTTGTACCTGTTTGATCCTCTGCAGTCTTGTGCTAGGAACACGTACTGGCGAAGACGGAACCTAAAAAGCATGAACATTCAATAAACAAAATGCATTAAAATAAAAAATAAAAAAATAAAAAATCAAATTCGCACATTAACATTGCATTCTGCAACTCTTTACATACCACACTGGGTCGAACAACAGTAGTACTGTTTCTTCTGCTGCGGAGAACCTCTCTCTGGAACACCTGTGAAGCATCACTGGAGAAAGAAAATACCTTTTCAACATCAGCGTGTACTAAACTATTCATTTAAACTTTAAAGTCATGATAAAACTGAATAAGTAGCAACAGATCCTTTCTTCTGTTTTGCGACATATCTGGGTGTAACAGATTGCGGAAAAAAATGTAGGGTGGGGATTTGGTTCAATCCAACAGGTGTTGATTGGATTCTGAGATGTGGGTTTAAATGAAAAAAATAATTGGAGAAGTCCTGCATGCATCACCAGAGAGAAGTCAGGCGTTTCACCGGAAGGTCTAGTTATGACACTTTAATTAAACAAAATGAGGTCAAAACATGGTTTAAAAATTTAAACCTGTACTCATTAGTCACAATAAGATTTGTGACATTGTCACTCTAAACATGCTTTTAGAGTGAATATTGGCTTTTAAACCATTGCAATCCTAATGTGTGAGTTTTATACTACCAACACAGTCTGTTCTTCGGAGACTGGTGGCCCTGATGACTCAAAGCATGTTATTCTAGCATGGCTTCATGTCTCTACTCTCTATGAGTGAGAGAGTAACCACAACAGTCATGCATGGTGTCTCTCAACACTTAGTAAGCTATACAGCATTTTTAGACATCAAAAGCGTGTAGGAACTCACCATCAAGGCTGGGAACATGATGTCCCAAAATTAAATGTTTCATCCCTGTTTACAAACCTATATCCTAAATAGTTCACACCAAAATGAAAATGTACTCAACATCTGGCCATCCAAGAAGTAGATGAGTTTGCTTCTGCATCTGAACAGATTTGGAGAAATTTACATTGATCATTTACATGCTCACCAATGAATCCTCTGTAGTGAATGAGTACCATCATAAACAAATGGTTTGAAGTTAAAAACATCTTGATGGATTTATTAGAAAAATGCAGGTTTTCACTTCACAAGACATTCACTTTTGGACTGGAGTTGTGTGGATTATTGTATTGTTTTTATCAGCTGTTTGGACTCTCATTCTCACGGCACCCATTCACTGCAGAGGATCCATTGGTGATCAAGCGATGTAATGCTACATTTCTCCAAATATGTTCCGATGCCTACATCTCGGATGGCCTGAGGGTGAGCACAATATCAGCAACATTTTTTTGGGGGGGGGGATAATCTTTAAACTAAAATCTGTGGTTTCCAGCTGGTTCAAGATGGTAAACCAGCTACCAGGTTCCAAAAACTAGCTTGACCACTTTAAACTGGTATGGCCAGTTTGGACCAATTAAAAACCAGTTAGCTACCAGCTTAGGCTGGATCTTTCAGCATGATCAAGTAGGCAGCTCACCAGATTGAAAGACACTTCCAATAATATACCAACATAATACATTTACTGGTCTAAACATCACAAAATATTCTATCAGTCGTCACCTCAGGCCGTTTATCATGGGTTCGCTGTTAGATCGTCTCAAGGGCCCATCGCTCTGAACAAGTGACGACGGGATGTCCAGATCCAGCTCCATCTTCTCTTGTGACATGATTCCTTGACTGTTCATCTTTATTGTCCTTATAAGTATGCCGCAAAAAAAGCACGCAGGTTGCAAAGCTACATCGTTGAAAGGCACAAAACAGATCAATGTCACAGTTTACTATGTGCTCATTTTGCAGCCTGCATAGAAAGACCGGGGCTTCTGTCGTTGTTGTTAAGGGTCAATGTAGGTCTCGATCACAGCCTAAGGAAAAGATCCGTGGGTTTCTGCGAACCAACATTCTGCTTGATCGATCTGCACCGCGTATCTTTCTAGAAAACTCACTTTCTGGTCCAAACTTGTAGATCCAGCGACTGGTTAGCTGCGAGCTAAAATGTGAAAGGGGTTTGGCCCATGCACACCAATCCTGTGCTGTTAGCTTAGCTTGATGGCGCACAAGCACCTAAAACTGAGCAGCTCCGATCAGTTAATTAACGTTACAAGTCTAGGAGTGCATGTAGAAAGGAGGCATGAAAGGCACCAATTCAGAGCAGGAAAAGAGAAGATTAAACCGTTAAACCGTGAGCGCAATAATAACAAGAGCTGAAGGCACAACAATGTTCAGCTGGCCATCATCATGTTGCTAACTAGCTTGCTGTTCGTGATGGGTTGCTGGGCAAACGCATGTAAATCACTAGACAAACGCGCGGCTCCTCTTCGACATCTTCTGTTTGCTAGTTTGGCGTGTCAGTATCTAGTTGGATGAGTTTGTAACTTAGTTGCGTCAATCATAGGTTAGCATATTCTGTCTATCTATTTTCTGGACGCCGCAGCGCACCCACGGCTCAGATAAGAGTCCTGCCCCTTCTGTTCCTACCGGACTGACTGACAGCATCGTGAACCAATCAGAAACTCGATGGACGCCGGCGTTCCTTTTTGAATGGCAACCGTTCGGGGAAATAGCCAATGGAATCACATTTCCTGGAGACTTTACCTAGGCTCGTCTCATTGTGCCCCTGCGCATGCCGTTCAACGCATGCGCATTCTCTTTGTTGCTTTGAAATAAACCAAACTCGAAACCTTTTTAAAATTGAGAGATACTTTAAAACTTGTGATATACGTACACCACAGGTAACATTATCAATATGTAACATTTTGGATATTTGACATTTAAAATTCTAGGGTAATAAGAACATTTATGACACTGTATAAAAGTTGTCCACTACTTCCAACTTGTCAAACTAATTCTGTTTACTGAATAACTAAAATGTATAAAATAGCCTTTGATTTATTAAAAAAAATAATGACATGAAAACTGACCCCTGACCATACTTGCACCAGTATAATCCACTTTTGGCCTTGGTGTTTTGTTTATCTACCACAAAAATAATGTGATAGAATATTATTTTTGATCTCCTTTTGTACAGTGATTTACACCTGATTTCTCACAGATTTGAAACTTCGGAGAACAAAAAAGTTATTTATACTTTTTCGAATGCGATTAAAATGTAGTGTTCAAGTCAAACATAATCTGACCCATAAATATAGTACAGATGAAATGATAACAGAGTTGTCATGAAATAAATAATTTATAAATA